GGTTGAGAATACAAAGAGGTCTTAAGAAGAAAAAATTCTATAAACTGTATAACAATGTCAGTTTTCTCAATATTTTTTTATTTTTTTGAAAAATAGATATTTTCGGAAAAATGTTACCTAACATGTAATAAGTTTATTATTATGCTTTACTAATATCTAAAATATAAGTTTAAACTCATCACATGGTATCAACAGATATAACCCACATAAAGAAAAGCTCTTTAGTGTCCACAAAAATTTGAGAGTGTAAATGGGTTTGAGACCAAAAAGTTTGATAACCACTGTTTTAGACAAGGTTGATCTCTGCAAGACACAGTGGGAATATTACCTCCCTCATTTCAGATTCCATACCTCTATTCATCTATTCAGTACACCACAGGATTGAAACATGGTAGGCACTCAAAAACTTACTGACTGCACAACATAAAAAATTTGTGATAAGATAGCAACAGCTATCTACTTTTACATGATATGAATTAAGAGCCAAGTAAAATCCAATGCAGAATTTTAAAGCAATCCCACACGTGAGACTGTTGAAACCTCCTGATGTTATATCATCAACAAAATAACCAACAAAAATACTGCCGTGGAAAAGAAGCCTTAGGTCCAACTTCTCTAAAATAAGCCACAGCACCATACAAAACCCTTTGGGCAATTTAGTAACAAGTTCTCCTCCATCCAGGGCAGTGTTATAGTCCCAAAGCTAGGGATATTCCACCATGGTAATAATGACCCACAAAATCAATACAACTGGAGGTGGCAGTTATTCTCATAGGGCTATGCCTGCTGCTGTAGACTATGGAGAGAATAGGCAAGCCCAATCTCTCTCCCTGTAGAAAAGAGGAGCTGTCGTTGCCTAAATGTGTAAGGTATGGTCTTATCCTGCACAGGCCTACCTTTAAAGGGTAAGGCAAAGGCACTCTGCTCTAACACTGTTCCTGTTAAAGAATATTTACTAGTCCGAGGTTCTTAGCCTTTAGTCTCTGATTCTTCCTTAGGCTCTAGAATGAACTGCAGGAGCCTCGCTCAAGATTCATTAAGGCCATTTTTGATAACCTAATTCTCATCATCATTTCCTATCACTACTACATAAAATACATTTCCTGGGGGAAGGAATTACTTCCCATTTTTATTGGAGACCTCTGCTTCCAGTCAAATTGAAATAACAGGGACCATATTTTCCCTTCTGCCTAAAACAACAACAAAACACACTATATAATGGTTTTCAAGGAATTGGACATCAGATAACAAAGGAAGCTGATAATTGAGAGATAGGAAGCAAACTAGGTGAGCTCTACAATTGTCCCAGTTTACTAACTTGAAAGACTTTAACAGATCACAAAAAAGATAGGACAGGGAATGCAGAGGGAGTCCAGCAGTTTCCCTGAGCTGGGGAGATGAACCTGGGA